CTGTCAGGATGAGCTGTTACGAACTACGCCGCCGTTAGTCTGTGCCGGTGAATCCCCGAAATAAGAAAACCAAGTGCAATCAATTCCAATGAGCAACTATTGGCATGAGGGAACCACAGACTACTATTTATAAATACGCCCTGCAAGCTGGCTATTGCAATAACGTCTACTGTAAATTATTTTGTGTTCTTTTTTTGAAAAATGTCGTCTACAGGAAGGAAGAAAGATGCCATTTGGTCCAATTTTTATGTTGTTAAAGATAATAAAAAATCAGGGACTGCTAAATGTATGAAATGTAAAGTAATTCTGGCTGGACTAGTGCTGCGCATGAAGAAACATATTCAAAAATGTGTTCCATCTGAAAATTCTCAGCTACCAATGTCAATTATCTATGATTCCGAGTCAGATGAGGATTTAACGCTAGATGAGATATCCAAAACTCAAAAACATTTAAAGAAGGTTTACCAGATAATAATACAGGTAACTTTGAATTTAAAATTTTTACTAATTTAAAGACAAATGCCCAAGACTAAAAAAAAGTTAAAGTATGTCGCATTTGCTTTGGACAAAGCCCAAAGAAACACTTGCACTATAGGAGATACAGAGGCTACAGAGATATGGTTAGAATTTTTAGAAGCATTCGAGACTTAACAAGCAAATGGAGAATAAAGTCGAGGAGCGTATGAAAATGGCTTCGACGACAGCTCATTTTTTAGCAAATTTGTTTCATCATCGCTTTAGATGCAATAAACTTAGTCAGGAGCAAATAGAAACTGGCATCGAATAACTAGAAACCTATCATCCAAAAGCAATTATTATTAGTTACCAGTAAAGTGTGTAACCCTTTAAACTATATACAGGGTGTCCCAGAAGTCGACGTCAAGCCGAAACCAGGTGATAGGCAAAGTCATAACAGCTATCAGAAAAATATTTATAAAAATGTTATGTATGTGTTTTAAAAATTATAGGTCTTCGAAAAAAATATAGAAATTTCACACCCTACGGCAGTCTGTCAACTCCTGTTACTACAAATATTAACTTTTTTTGGATTTTATTTTTACAATGTAATGATGAATAATGCATCTTCAAACTGGTGTCTCTACCTTACTGCCAACTTTTCTCGTTCAGGAAAAATTGCCACTTATTTCCCAATCAAGTATTCCAAAGTAAAACTTTGCTCAACTTTAACTGGCTGTACTGGAAAAAAATGTACTACGAGAGTTTGGCAAGTAACCTTAAAAGTTGGCGCATTTAGTAAGGATTCCAAAATGGTATAACACTTACAAGATTACTCGTTAACTTATGCACAATTTTTATTTGAAGAAAAACTGATGAAAATTTTTCAAAATTTCCTAATTAAACAGCGATTATGAAAACGCACAAGGACCCTTAAGGATAACTGTTTGCACAACAGTGGGCGTCAAAATGCTGCTGATGATGATTTACCTTTACAGCAAGTGCTCAAACTGTTTTCCTTCAGCAGCAATACACGCTCGACATCTTAAAAAAGATCGGGTTATTAAACGAGCGAATCCACGGTTATTAACAAACTCAGCTGCTTCCAATAGTCTTTGCCGTAGCTCAGCTACATTTTGAATCGGCTTGAAATACACTTTTTCTTTTACAGTTCCCCAGTAAAAAAATCTAACGGATTCAAATCTGGTGACCGGGCTGGCCACGGTATTGTACCAGACCGCCCTATCCATCTGCCTGGAAAGTTTTGATCGAGATACTCTCTCACTGAGAGTGCATAGTGCGCTGGGCAGCCATCATTCTGAAACAGCATGTCCCTGTAAATACTCAGTGGCACGTCCTCCAATAAATTTTCTAAATGATTTTGCAAAACACCTAAATAAACCTCAGCAGTCAAAGTCTCTGGGAACTCAAACGGACCGATTATTTTACCATTTAAAATTCCTGTCCAATGGTTTATCTTGAGGCGATATTGAGATTTATCTTCTCTCATCAAATGTGGGTTTGCTACGTGCCACTTGTGTAAGTTATGCAGGTTCATGTACCCATCTTTCTTAAATGTGGTCTCATCTGACCATAAAATTTTTTCAAAGAACCGTGGATCTTTCCTGTGTCTTTCTAACATTGTGCGACAAAAAGCAACTCGGGGCTCATAATCCCGGGGCAGGATAATTTTGGTTTTACTTGATCATAGTTATTAGGTGCAAAATTCATTTGACGATGTAGTTCGAGTTTAAACCATTGATATATATATATATGCTTCTAAGAAAGCAAGTAACCAAGCATTGTCTCCGTCCATTGACTTTGATTCGCCACATTATAAGGATATCACAATAAGGATATGATCCTTTTTGGGCGCTTTTGATCAAGGTTAAGTTAACTTTGTCAAGTAATCTAAAATACCTTTGACCAATGAATTATGCTGCTCGAAAAGTCACTCTCTTGCTAGTAAATTAGTATTTTGCATAAAGGTTTGCTTAGTAATAAAAATGATTTTCATCACAAAAGTGTGAAAAAATAAGCTTTGTCCATTTAAGATTCTAGGTTACCCCTACCTATTCCTATGTCGATATACGACCGTAGTTATATGAAAACCCATTTCTTTTTTAGATGCAAACAAGCCATTGTGTCATATGAAAGATAAGAGCAAACGCTTAGATTTGGTTTCATTTTTGTTTTCAGATAAAACTGGTTTTGTAAAGAAATATAATTCTCAAGTCCGATGTGATCAAAGGGAATATGACAGAGAAGGGGATACTATATAGATGATGGTTTATTGTCTTCGGATCATAGGTGTGATATAAGACTGGCCGATACGACCGCTCCATTGTCCCTAGGTTATCAACAATCTACCCGAGGAGGCTTTCCCAGTTCCAGTAACATTAAGCAGTTCAAAAATTGTATTAACCGTGTTTCTGTAAGCTCCTCGTACAACCTCGGGGCCTTGATACTTAGATTTCTCCCTACGCGGCTTCAGCGGTATAAAAATCGAGCTCCTTTGACTGGTCTGTGTATACAGGGTTATCCAAATTAAGTGTCCACCATTAGTAACTTTGTTATTAGTGAAAATACAAAGTTGTTTGAATTAGCAAACTAGTAGCATTTTTAACGCTGGTAAAAATGAGAAATAAAAAAAAACAATTGAGAGTCGTTATTTTGATTTTTTTCAGTAAAATAACATTTTTTTAAATGGAAACCCCTGTATATTATATTTTTTTCTGTTAAAGCATCAAATTTTAAACAAAAAAGCTTACAATAACTTTTCTCCTAGGTTACAAATTGTTGAAGTTATGGCCTCCAATCTGAAACAATTAAATTGTATCGACAAACTTTATTTTCAACACGAGTTTCAACATCAACTTATAATCTTACAAAATACAATAACAACTTTTTTTAAAGAAGATGCTCGAAAACACCACCTTGTTCTTCAATACATTTTTGGGCACGTTTTTCAACTGCTCGAACTGTCTTAAGTATGGTCCTACCATCTATCTGGGTTATCTTTTCCCTAACTGCAGTCTTTAACGCGTCAAGGTTATCGTACCTTCGCTTGTAAATTTGGTTCTTTAAGTAACCCCACAAGAAGTAATCAAGTGGGTTTAGATCTGGTGATCTGGGAGGCCACTGTATTGGGCCATTTGTTCCTATCCACTGATCATTAAAAGTAGTACTTAGAAAATGATAAGTACCTCTGGAGTTGTGGGCAGGTGCGCCATCTTGCTGAAAATGCAGATGATGTCTACTTATAAGATCCAATTCGTCTAAGAAATTAGTCAGAATTTCTGACATAAATTCCACATATCTTTCACCAGTTAGGGTTCCCTCATAAAAGAACGGGCCAACAATTTTTGAACCAATTATACCGCACCAAACGTTGAAACTGAAACGGACTTGTGGGCCTCTTGGATGTACTAACAAAAGATTTTCTCTTGACCAATAATGGTGGTTTTTTCTATTAAACATTCCAGAATTTGAAAAATTTGATTCATCTGTCCATAAAAGGTAACGAAAGTTATTTACATTTTGGCGACAGAAGCTAAGATACCAATGGCAAAAAACAAGTCTTCTCTCTGGATCCCCTGCCAAAAGCGTTTGAACTGGTCGGTACTTATACGGAATAAATTTGTATTTTTTTAAAATCCTTTGAACAGTACCATAACTGAAATTAGAGTCCTTGAGAATATCTGCTATTGAATTCTCACGATAAGCTTCAAAATATCCAATAACTGCAATTTCCGTGGCCTCGCTTATTATGAATTCTTTTTTTGCCCTTGTTTTAGCAAAAACATTTTCGTTGCTCCTAAATTTTCGATAAAGTCTCAGAAAATATCGCTCATACGGTTGAATGCGAGCGGGATATAATTCACTGTAGTATTCTCTTGCTCTCAAGGAGGATTTTCTGCACACTAAATAGCATTCTAACATATCACACTTTTCTTCATGGGAGAACATTTTTCTTCAAATTAATGACACAATAAAGCTTATAAACAAGTATTTACACTAATGTTTGACATTATTTGATTTTATCATTGTTTTCCAAAGCCTTCTAGTTGCGAGTATGTCCAGTTTAACAATTTGTCGCTTATCTTAATGCTGTCAAATCGCGAACGCCATGTTGTTTTCATAGCCGTCTTAATATTATAATACTGCAAATAATTAAAAATATTTATCGTTATTCTGACTTTATTTTTGACTTTAGCGGAAAAGTCATTATGAACTTTTTTGTTTAAAATTTGATGCTTTAACAGAAAAAAATATAATATACAGGGGTTTCCATTTAAAAAAAATGTTATTTTACTGAAAAAAATCAAAATAACGACTCTCAATTGTTTTTTTTTATTTCTCATTTTTACCAGCGTTAAAAATGCTACTAGTTTGCTAATTCAAACAACTTTGTATTTTCACTAATAACAAAGTTACTAATGGTGGACACTTAATTTGGATAACCCTGTATAAAGTACCTTTTAGTTATAAGAGTAATATGGACATTTGTAAAATATTAAATCGGTCATTCTGCTTTGTTTCAGATGTGGACCTCCTTCGTGATCTTCTCCCGGCCACCTTCGTTGAGGCATCTTTGCAGGCCCTTTGGCGACAGCAATCAATGTTGACCATCAGCAGCACCATCACTGTCAGACAGCCATACAATGGGCAACAACTGTTGCTGTTGTGCTAGTCGAAGGGCTTCGCCCCCGGAAGTCTACCCTCCTAGTAAAATGAACTATGGAAATGATGGTGAGTAGAATAGGAGCCAAGCGTATATGTTTACACTTCATTGTTTGTCGCCATGATTTCGTAGTGTTAGTGCAAACTTTTGACTCGCATGACCATTGCTTACTAAAGTAACGTATCAGCATAATAATAATACTTACTAGTGGAAAGATGTACCTTCATTAAGCTTGAGCTGCTCTTTGCAAATTATGTAAGAAGTACCATGTCTTGAAATCGTTTACCACAATTATCTGCATTTTTAAAAAATAACATTAAAAATATGAATGTAATGACAATACTATTAAAAAATTGATTTATTCCAAGTGCCCTTGTATCCTCATTACAGATAATTAGGAGACAATTTCTTGACTGACTCCTTCTACCTATTCTGAATTTGTTGGTGAGTACTGAAGGTTTAGTACTTTATACTTTAATGTTGGAGACATTGAAAATTACTAGGATTGTTTAGCAGTTGTACCTTTTTAGAGCTCAACTTTCTCACGGCATTGGTTAAGTAAGAATATTAATTAGATATATACACCACATAGTGCTTAGTTTTGATTGTAGAAGCTCACATTGTGAAATAATAAGTATTGTATTTAAGTTATTTATAATCATATTAATTATTCTACAATTTTTCTGTTTGTTTTTTTTACAGTTTTCTGTTAATGCTGTCCTCTCAAACAATTTTTGTTGTTTTGCGACCTCATACTTTTCTACTTCCGCATTTACCTGTGTAAGCACACAAATATATTAAGCATCAATAAATAAATAAATGTATTTCGAAATATCTAAGAAAATGAAGGTTCAAAATAGTTTTAAAGAAGATTTTTGACTAGCGCCAAAATATTCATATGCAATCATCCATTCCTTTCCTTTTAGTACATAACGAAGCAACGTGGTATCATTAACTTGCCTGGATGACTGTATGTGACAGATTGTGATGGTCAGAAATACCTTGTTGAAAATAACTGATATAATATTATAATTCCGTTCCATATCTCTTTCCGTATTGTAACATCATCGCAGTGGTTACTTACATTACGGGGTGATGAAAACGTCTACAAATAAACTGACATAAAAATGGATGAAATGGATAGAGACCAAAAATATTCACTAGGATTCCATGAAAATTACACTGTTTTCATTACCATCCTCGGCATGCCACAGACTTAGGAGCTTAGAACTTCTGAATCAAAACGACTTTTTTTCTTTTTTGTCTGAAATTGGGTAACCACAAGAAAAATGTTCCTACAGCTGTGTAATGATCCAAATATGAAAATATGTTGAGTAGAAAATATTGCATACACTATAAACATTATAAATCACCACGACCCCACCTCTCATTATAGCACAATAGCACACCCACCCGCCAAAAGTACTTGGAGAAAATGTTTTTTCAATGCATCTTTCTTTATATTTTATAGCCAACCTGAAGACCTTTAGGAAGAGAAGCTCGAGCTCTCACCTTTGTGACTGCTCAACAAATAAAAAAAGAGTAACAAAGTAGAATCGAGTCGCCTGGACAACCAGTTAGCAACACTCAATTCTATGATACAAAAAGAACAAAAGGCATTTCCGTTCGGCTTTTATCAATGCTGGTTGGTGTATTTATTGTGACCGACTTGGGCCAATTTGAATATTAAATCAGAGACTTTATTGCTACTGACATCTGAGCAGCGGTTAGCCGCTTTGTCTGAGTACACGCTTTGTAACTGGCCGATCGGTTTACGGGTTAATGTTCTTTGCGATCGGAACGAACACTGAAATCTATTATGTATTTGAGGTTAAATAGGGAAGTGCATGACAAGAACTGAAATAAAACAGGAATTTACTAGTCCGAGATATCAGAATCAAGAAGTGTCCATCACTTGTCACCGGATGCAAATTTTGTAGGTCATAAATCCATTCTTGGGCACTATAATATAGTGTTAAATATACTACTCAGTGGCACTGGAAGTGTTATGCCAAGAAAAAATAATTTCTCAACTTAATTTTTTGGCATTGAGGTAGTCTTACATCAAGAACGAAACGATAACACTCTCACGAAATGAAGATGACTATGCCATTCTGCCTCCAAATGTTGCCGTTCTCTGCTCCAATTCAAACGTTGATGACAGTGAAGGTCCGCAGTCAGAGGAAGCACTAACCGTGGACGGTATGAAAAAAGTCCAACTGCTCGAATGCGGCGTTCGCATAGTCTACCTTCTTCTCAAAACCATTGATCAGCGATCTGACGCGTAGTAGCCGACCCCTCACTATCTCGATCAAATGGCGGACCTCGCCGCCTGACCCAGTCAGAGGCGTTCCGGGTCGCAATGCTTAAATTTTCAAAACGGAACTGGAAAAACGAAATTCAAATTGTGATGTCTCATGTACAATGTATTTCTGGTATATCCCCGAAAGAAAAGATAATTACCCCGTTTAGCACCCTGATATATATCGGCTTGGTGCTTACCCTGAGCATCTATCTCATCGTTGCTGAGTACAAAGAGAAATGGCTCTACGCTCTACATGCCAATTCTGCTACTTGTCCTGAATCTGTTAATCCGCACCGTATGGATTCGCCAATCGGCGCGGCGTCAAGCTGTCTGGTCTCGCTCTTGCGCTACCAAAAGTTCATAGGCCAGTCCGACTAGAAAGTTTAACGTCAAGCACATGTTAACGCCTCTTAGGCCCGATTTTACTATTGATCCTCGGGATCTAAAATCTTGATCCGGATAATAATAGTGGGAAATATACGATTTGTGTACGAAGGGCCAATCCCCATATTAAATAAAGAAATTCTTCATAAATCCACCTTGTAGATGATATAATCAAATTCAAAACAATCATAAATATCTGAGAAAAGTGAAAAAAGGATATATCGGCTGTTAATTAGGTGTAGTTTTCCACAAACTCCTTAATTATCTTCCATTATCACATGTTTTTGCTGCCGTAGATAATCTGCATGTCTTCAAGGTAACTAGAGATGTTTCTGGGCTACAGTTACTTAAGTATCTTAAACGCCTTTATCTGTTTTAGACGAATATATACTGTTGCATTTGCATTATAAAATTTTAGAAAAAATGGTAGAAACCAGATGAGAAATTATACGTCAAAAATAAATGCCGGCAATAACACAAAGTCTGCAAAATGTACAATGAAACTCCTTCTTTCTTGTGCCTCTTTGTCGGGTAGAGATGGGGTGTGTATTCGAATTCCGATAACAAAGATATTCGAATACGAAAGCTTTTACTATTTTTTACTACAATCACAATTTTAATAAATCATATTTAAGATAATCAATGCAGGTCAATGACATTAAAGTTGAATTTGCCCGAATACAATAGGACACCTCGCCTACAGACCCATTTTACTTGATACAACAGTTAAAATGAATTAGTATCAGGCAATAATGCTATTCATCGCAGTTATCGAAAAATCTGAACCTATGATAAATACAAACGATCATATGAAACTATTCATTATTATTTGAATTTCTCTTGCGACGTTCTGTTTGCCAAAACTCAGGTAATCAGTAGGTCTTCGAAATGTGGGTTCGTTAAAAATATTTATAATATTATATAATAATATTTATAATATTATATAATAATATTTATAATATTATTTATATGACACGATAAACCACTACATTTGAGAGGAATACAGGCAGTATCGATATACCTACTGTTCATTTGAAAACTTCCCACCACGGATTCATCGAAAACCACTGATTAAAAAAAAAAACGCCGACATGTCGAAATATTTGTCAAGGGGGACAACTTTTTAACTAAAAACTACTTCACCCCATTTCACCCTCTGCATTCAGGGTCATCCCCTTAAAAATTTTAAATGACAAGGGGTATCGAAAAATAGCTTGTTTGAAAGGTCTTTCGAAGGCCTTTATTTTGACATCTGATTTCTAAAATCGGTCGATTCGTTTTCAAGAAAATTAGAAAAATCCTTATTTATATTAATTTGTTCAGATAGAAAACCAACACACAAGAAAACATCACTTTTTCTTTGAATAAGTGTTGGAAATGTATGCGATGTTCAAATTCCTGACGGACATTTTCAAAAACATGTTGTGGGATATAATGGCAGCTTTCGATGATGCGTTGACGAAGTTTATCCAAACTTTCAGGTTGAGGAGTAAACACAATAGATTTCAAATGACCCCATATTGATGGTATTTGCAGTTATGCTTACTAACAAATCCATTTAGATAAAATGTGCATTCATCACTCAAGCAGATATTATTTACAGATTTACACGAATGGTATCATTAATCGCTGCAGTCATTTGTTCACATAACTCAAATCGCCTATCGAAAGCATCTTCGGTTAACTCTTGCAATATTTTCATTTTAAATGGTTGAAATTTATGGAATTTAGTTACTGTGTGTACAGAGCCTGATGAAGTACCAGTCGCAGCAACAATTTTGCGTAATGAAGTATTAGGATTTATTCCAAAATGACACAAAACTTCAACTTGAGCGGCTTCATCCAAACCTCTCCGATGATCACTTCTTTTATTTGCAACAGATCCAGTTTGAGTAAATTTAGTAACAAGGTCCAAAACATACCTATGCGAAAATATCTTCCCCAGATGTCTGGCGTTAAACGTGACTGCAGTTTGCCCAGTACATTGATTTTGGGTACCACAAATTAGAATCATTTCCACTGTTTCGACTAGTGTGTAAACCATTTTGGAAGTAAAATCTGAATCAATAAATTAATTTTCACTATCCCAAAATTGTCACAAATGCAACTGACAGCAAACTAATTTCTTTCTTTCGCAAATAACTAAACAGGTATAACAATAAATACAGTTCGCCCAGGAGATCTGTGTTGATGAAAAGAATGCGGAAAAAATCGGGTTGTTATTTGGTTGTTACCAAGTCTAATCTCCCGAATTGCTGTTTATGTTGGTAGTTTCAGTTATAAACGAATTGTAGAATTTGGCAAACACTCACGGACAACATTTTGAACACTTATTGAAATAAAAAGTGATATTTTCACGTGTTTTTGTTTTCTATCTGTACATACATAAATAAAGATTTGTCTAATTTTATTGAAAACGAATCGATTTGAAAAAATCAAATGTCAGAATGAAGGACTTCGTAAGATCTTTTAAACAAGCTATTACTCGATCCCCTTGTCATTTAAAATTCTCAAGGGAAAGACACTGATGAGCAGAGAGTGAAAGGGGGTGAAGTAGTTTTTGGTTAAAAAGTTGTTCTCCTTTACAAATCTGTTGACGGCGTTTTTTCTTTTACTCGCTGGTTTTCGATAAATCCGTGGTGGAAAGTTTTCAAATAAACACCCTGTATGTATAATTATCGACCACAGTGCAGATGTGCGCTGCACATCTTCGATAATGCCCATCACTATCCCACTGTGCCCATGACGCGACGACCCCCATAACGTTACTTTTTAATGACAGTGTTTATGAAGTGTCCCTGTAATTGTTTTGTTTGACAACAGCAAGCAGTCTGTTAGAACTTTATTTCAGTCCGTATTGCCAGCCAAGGCACTACTGTGGTTGTTAGATGCCACCGATTCTGGTACTATAGTAGATACGGTCTACTCACCGTTGAACAAACTAGTAATATAGCTTTCGTTGCCAAATAGCACAAAACAGCTGTCCATAGTTGACCGTCTGGAGTTGATGAACATATTAAAAAATATAAATCAAAAGTTGATAAAATAAAAAAAATCACAGAAATTAAAAATTTTGAGATTTGCCGAAAATTGTCCCACCAAAAAATTGTTTATAATAACGTGAAAATTGAATATTATGTAATTAGGATGAGTAGCTAGTGTGAGGAACAGCTGTAATGATATTAACGTTGATATTTATTGTTATAATAGCGAATAAACATTTATTTCGTTCGTCCACCGAGACCAAGCTTACACCACGCTGAGAAGCTGCCGAATAGTACGAAACATCTGTCCATGGCAATATGTGGTCGGACGAACGAAAGCTATATTACTAGTACGAGCCCTGTCTCAGTGAAGTTAGCCCAACTATCAAAACTACGTTGTTTATGAAATTTGTCATATTAGCGGAAACGTATTAATACCTAAAATGTTTTTCTGTTAACATACGATATTTTTATTTAATATTAGCCTAAAATACTACTTTTTTTTAACAAAGAACAAATATCTTACAAATTCAAATAGTAACAATCAACGAAACCAAATAGCAGCAAATCACCACTGCGTTATATCGCCTTTTTGACTGGTGTCAACTAATTTGCCAGTTTTGACAATTTCGAAATGAAAACGCTTTAAAAATAGCCTCGTCGGTCCATACACGCTTACAGAAACCAAAAATATTATATTTTTATAAAAATTTAACTAGCCCTCAAATAAATATCATATCATCATGTTTTAGGAAGTTGGGCCAACTTCTCTGAGACGGGGCTCGAATATTTAGAGGTAGTCATACCATACATTGCAGCAGGTTTGAAATGTGTAGTCTGTTTTTTGTCTACAGTTGTGCCTAGGATTTTGAATCCACCATCAAATTATTTACACAGAGCGTACTTACTTGAACGAATAATTCTCAGCTTGGCAATACTATCTCGGCTGTAATCTCTGTATTAGTCCCATATACATTTTCAACTGATAGCATATTATTCATGATTTTTGTATTTTATTTACTTGTTTATTTCTATATTTTAACTCGGCCAATCCTTCAATAAGTAGCTACTGTGTTGTATTTCTTTGTTCATTATTTTTGTGACTGTCATTTCATGTGTATATTCTTTTTATTTATCTATTTTTGGGACGCCTTTTGGTATTCTCCATGGTGGAGTACCTTCACCATTGACGTGATCTGAGTCATTATAAATGATCCTACATAACCAATAAAGATTATTACTAATATTATCATGAAATACTTTTTTAACAAATTAAATCTTGTTTCAGTGATAATTCACCATCCGATAGCGGAGAACCGCTACATCCCCGATCCCAGTCCTGCCACGCAACATTGCCATGTGGAGAACTCGAGGCCCCGGACCACCCCTACACGGCCCCCAGTGGCGACGCAGACCACAGGCAACAGGAGGATAGTTGTTGCTATGTATAATTATGAAGCTAGGGATAGCCAGGTATGAGATGGATGTTTTATAATACGAGGTGTGTAAATTAAGTGATGAGACTGTTTTTTTTTAATTTTTTCTCCAAATACAATTACAATTTGTTATTGTCACACTCAAAATAACTTCCTGTTGAAGCCACGCAGCGCTGGAGTCGGTCTTCCAGTCCTCATAGCAGTGCTGAAACTTCGATACTTCAATAGGCTTCAGCTGGTCAGTTACAGCCGTTTGAATGTTTTCGACTGTCCCAAAATGAGTTCCCTTGAGGTGACTTTTCACCTTCAGTAAAAGAAAAAAGTCACAAGGACTCAAGTCAGGCGAATAAGGAGGCTGAGGATCCAAATGAATATTTTACTGGCCAAAAACTCGTTTATTGACATTGCTATGTGACAAGGAGCATTATCGTGATGCAACACCCAGTTGTTCTTGATCTGATGGACGATGGTGTGAATCAAATCTAACTCTTCCAGGATGATTCTGACCGACGATCTGAACGCACAAGATACCGGATTCTGTCTATATTTTCATCGGTTCTTGAACATGAAGGCCTTGCGCTTCGTGGTTCATCTTCAATCGACCCTCTCCTCCCTGAAAATGCTTTAAACTACTGAAAAACCTGGACTCTTGACGAAACGCTATCTCCGTAGGCCTGTTGAAGCTTATCAAGTTTCCGTTGCGCTGTGCCCAAGTCTGAAGCAAAACCTGATAGCACACCGTTGCTCGAAATTGATGCCACTCACTTTTAGAACACAACAGAAAATACTGTCTACGGAGAACTAACATAAATGACTCGAGCGAGTTCAAACTTGTACTGAAAGCGGATCACATGTTCTCCTGTCTCCCCTCCAAGCCCGACGCTTCCAGAGTTGCTAGATTAAACGCTACGTTACCAGTCCCATCACTTAATTTACAGACCTCCTAGGGTGATGATGTTCAAATAGTTTCCTGTCACGATCAGGTTTCTCATCATAATGAAAATGAGTTGAAGAAACAGTAGAACAACGATAAAATCTACCCAAGATCTGGTAAACTTGAGATGAATATTTATTTTCTGTAATAAGAATCTCAGGTCTAACGAATAAAAAATATAAAACTGTCACAATAACTTCTGTGTAGAGGGGAGTGTTGACTATGTAAAGTGCAGGCTGTCCTGAAAGTTGAGACTTTCCTTTTCAGAAATTACTTCGTTTGAAGTAAAAATAAATTGAAGAAAGGTGCTCACTTTCATTTTGTCAGGAATTTCAACTACTGACCTGTCTGATGATTTGCTCTAAATAATATTTGAAGTTCTCGATTCAAGAACAAATAAGCTATAGACGAAACTACATTCGAAAATTGCCTCCCAACGGTATCAAAATCTATGTAACTCCAAAATAAGGAATATTGGATCAAATCACCTTAGCCAAATTGTTAGATTGATAGATGGCCCCGAGAGCCCCATAACCTAAAAAACGTATTTCTTTGAAAATAATTTTACATTGTAGCAATTTTTGCCCAAAAAATTTGAAAGGAAAACTAGCAAGGCTTCGTTGTTATATCCCACATAACCATGATTTTTTATAGAATTGTGGAACGTGTAAGTTAGAGATAAAAACTTGTTGAAATATATTTTTAATTTTTTATTTAGTAATATCGCAAACTTAAAAATGCACCATATAGCACTGCTTTCTTGCATTCCTAACAGATCCTTTAATAAACTCATGAATTTTGCCCGGAAAATCATAAGAAATGGAAAATCCACATTTTCTCATGTTTTTCTTGCCTGTTCTACCAGGTTCCATAACCAAAATTTTGATTTGTTTCCTGGAAAATATAAAATAAAATATTGTATCATCGATAATTTTTCAGAATTTTTTTGAGCAAAATTATTCTTTAAAAAACACGTTTTTGAGGTTAGGGGCCCCCAGAGCCCACCTATCTTCCTAAATTTGCAACAATTGGGATTGTCCATGCCTTCTGTTGTGTGCACCTCGACGACCTTAGCATGTTTTAAAGAAACCTAAACAGTTCGGGTCGGAAATATCCTGGAAAACGATTTAAATTTGGTCGCACAGTTTTAGCTGAATCTTGAAGACCCTCGACGTAAACTAAAGTCAAATTGATAAATTGGTTAACCTATACATCACGCAGCTCATGTTTTGCACTCTGACGCACGAGGTACTTTTCATCAATATCACGTAGGCTGCAGGGCCGAACTGGCTCATTCAGACTCTTTGGAAATTTAATACCTCATTCATCTTAAGGCTTCCTGTATGTTACTACGGAAATTTGTTTATTATCTGAAAGATGCGCTCTGTAAGGAAAGTCTCAATTTTAAAAACACCATGTATAAGTGTATAAACATTAATATGGATCTTGCCAATTCACAGTTTGCCATATTGCTTATCTTCCCCGCTCCTCAACTTACAATGTGATCCCTATGTTTGCAGTGAGTCCTAAGTGATGTTATGAAAAAATCCTTTTTTAAAATAACAATACTGGTGGTGCATAACAGCTGTTAACGATTCTCAATGCCTCATCAAAATCTGCAAAATACAGTTCCTGAGTTATTCCAAAAAGTTTTCAAAAAATATTCTTCATTTTATTCGGACTTTTTTATGCATTCATCTAAGATGCTAACTCTATGAATATTTTTCTTGATTTACAAGAGCTGGAAATAAAAAATAAACAAAAGGGCCTGAGGATGACAAATGTATGTTTTTCATTATATGATATTCAATATCAAAAAATTGACGTACTTTTACTTTCCAAACTCAAATCACCCAGTGCCGGCGCTCGTGCTAGTTTGTGATTTCTTGGGTAACGATAAGAAGAAACATCTATTTAGATAACGGTTCGATAACGCTTCATTTTCAAGATATATAGTTTCAAACTTCCGTTGAATTTCATATAAATGGCAGTAAGCTTCAACCATTTTTGATTTTTTTTAAATTAACCATGTGCGGAGGTGTCACTGGAAATCAAATTTGAATAACGTTTTATTAAAACTACATAACAATGCCGTATGTAAATCCTATATTGTGAAAACGGAGCATTATCAAATCTACATTTGCATAAACTGCTTGTCTCAGAACCGCTTAAAGAATAAAATAAAAAATGTTTACACCCTGTACTACAGTTTGATTTTCCAAATACATAAATTGTTCAAACTACTTGCAGATCTAATAATATTTTAGATACTTCGCTTATACACAAGTTTTGAATTGCTGAAATAATTCCTATTTTTCTATTTTCAGGACGTGTCGTTTAAAAAAGGTGATCGAATGGAGATCATCGACGATACAGAAGGTGACTGGCTCAAAGTGATACATCTAATAACAAAAGAAAAAGGATATATTCCTGGAAATTTTGTAGCACCTGAACTTAGCGTCGAAAGTGAGGAGTGAGTATTTTTCTTTCTTTAAGGACCAGAGTAAATAAGCAGGCCCTAAAATTGACACAATTTTTTTTACTCAAAAAGTTATATCGAAGTTTGGAGACATTCACTGGCCTCCTAGGTCACCAGACCTCACGCCATGCTATTATTTTTTGTGGGGTTATAAAAAGTCAAAAGTGTATTCCTATAATCCACGAACACTGCTTGTGCTCCGGTGTTTCTTCGGTGTGCGTTGCCGCGTCTGGCGATATGGGAAAGCGCAACGTTGCCAGATGGACGGTAACTACCGGTAGGACAGAAAAAGAATGTCTATGGACTAATTGTATGGGCCTGTTTAACTGACTTGATCGGTCTGATTTGTCTGTTGTACATGTTTGTAACTATTTTTTTCCTCAAAAGGTTCAATTTGAGCATTTCTGAACTGCGTAGGAAGCTAAAGTCAACCTACTTGACACCATTTTTGATATTAGTGTTTGGTTGTTCTTTAAAAGCTCAAAGTTCGCTATTTTGTTTTGTATGGCATCCCGCATTCGGACATTAAAATTTGCATATTTCGTATGATTTTGTGTACAATTGTTTTTACGATTCGCCCCCTTTGAAAACATTTGCTATCTCCGCTCTTCAAAAAAGTTTTTGGAACAGGTACACCCCCCACACCACAATCAAACCCACTGAGATGAGATATAAAACAAACTATATATAAAAACAAAACTCTTGCGTCACCGCGCTCACAATAAAAACTAATGGTGAAAAAAGAATACACAACTATAATGACAGTTCAATTTTTGTTTTTATTATGAAGGCAGCGGCGCAACACTATTCATTTTTATGTTTTGTGTCTCAGTCTATTTAATTATAGATATAAAGTAAGAAGTGTTGCTTTCATATAAAAATAGTTAAATATTCGAAGATGAGTGAATTTTGAACAAAAATGCCGAAATTTTCAATTAAGGACCTTTAAAGAACAACCAAATGCTACAATTAAAGGAAAAATGATGAGAGCTTGGAACACGTTTTAAAATATAAAGACGCAGAAATTTTATGAAAACCATTAACTTGATGATTCAGTTATTTAATGCTTTTTTACTTTGTTGTATCTCTTCGCTACCGGAGAAATATAGGTATAAGTGAAATTGTAAGGATTGAATTCCATAATTTTCAACCATTCAAAACCAGACGACCACCCAGTGATTACACAACTCTATTAAAAATACTTAAATTCGAAATTATTTCTGAATGTTTATGAAGCTTGGGCCTAAGTTCTAACGCCCCAATACTATTTTCTTTGTCAAGGCTAATAAAATATGAAATTATTTGGAGCACTTAAAATTGCAATATTATATAAACGATTCTGACCGTTAGAATTTCCGTCAAATTTCGAAAAAGTAAACTTTGAGCTCCTCAAAAGTACCGACCACAGCCGTTTTTTGGCGTCCTCTTCGATACGGACCTTCGTTACGGATCGAGATAGCTACGTTTTTTTTTTTCGCAAAACGAAAGACCAAAGTCTCTGATTAATCCGATATACAACACGTTATCCGATCGCGTTTTTTAAACTCGGCAGATTAGAAAATTTCAAGATATGCAGATATTTTGAGTTTGACAATTTATTGTACTTTGATTTTCGCCCGAGATTCGCGATTCCTGTTAGGCGGGGTATTGTAGGTATGATAATATTAAAAAAGCGAGCGCGTGCTAGCGGAACGTCCAAAACGTGCCCTTTTCGGCTTTATGACGATCGCTTCATCCAGTATTGGATCATACCGAATAGCATTGTCCTTTTTTTTACGCGTGAAGATAAACATTTTTGAATAGATTCAGAATTTCTATATTCTATAGTCCACACGGTACCGGACTATAACTATAATCATAATAACAGTCTAGTAGGTTGCAATGTTTACCGGCAGCTGGTGCAATTAGGCTTTGACGTTTAGTAGTTTATAGAAGTCATCATCAGTTTAAATACGATAAATATGATTGTAAGCCCCAATTAGTGCCATAGATCAATTCCAGAAAAGACCAGAAATATACAATATCTTCGATACTTTCGTGAATGATCCAAACGTTCATGGCATCTGTATGCGATAACAATTTTTGTACATATTAATTTCCACTTTCAATGATTTTCTTGTTCAAATTTAGTACGAATGAATTACTTCTTATTCTATTTATCGTATTTGTGATAACCATAGCGAGCGAGTGTCCTCGATCTGATCTTTCCCGAGAAGTTCAATAATTGAAATGCACATAAACATACAAACTGGAGGTTCACTAAACTGCTTTTCTGGTAATCATGTGTTGCCACAATTTATTTTTTACATACCGAATGTTTACGGTAGGACTGACATGGTGTGATAAATACTGATTTGTATATAAACATTCGGTAGAAAATGAACCAAATCACTTGTAAACTGACATTCATTATGTTTCCCCTTTCCTGTCGATGCTCGTTTCGAGGTATCCTGTTTACTCCAGTTCTCCAAGAGTTTTGAGGACAGCGGAATATTTCGACGTCTGACGTTTAGGACTTTCTCGAGATAATATGGTTTAGTTTATTAATCAAAGTGGCAGACTTAATCGGCGAAAGATGTTTTCTACAAATGCGTGAAATACACGGTGCAAGGATAGGTATAACCGACTGATCTACAGTAGCGGACAAAAGTTTGGGAACAAATATTAACATTATTATGAACTATTTCATATACCTAAATTAAAATTGTGAAGGAACAGATAATATACAATACAAGGTTTATCTTATCAATATTCAAATTCTCTGAAAATAAAAACGCGTATTTTTAAATACCACAGTTTTTGTAACGACGAAACATTTCTGTTTTGCCATATTTATTCGTTCTGCGATACTCTGATATTGCGTGCGGTAAATATTAACATCAGAGGCAAAAGTAAAAGAATTTTCAAAATATTTAAAAGACAGAGTAATTGAATTATTTAGAAGTGGTGTCAGAAATGTTGACAGCAACGCCGCCTAGGTGCGGAAGACCGGAAAAACCGATTATGTTTTGGATCGCTACATTAAACGTTTGTCCCGTGAAGATCCTCGGATGCAAGTCGCACAGATTTTCAAAAGAATCGTAAAAGAGGGTACCGAGAATCTTTCTGTCTGAACAGTGCAGAGATGCTTAGTGGATTTTGGGCTTTTTGGTAGTCCAGTGCAAAAGCCTCTCATTTCATGAAAACAAAATCGTATTGCTCGACTTGAAGTTGCTAAAACTCATCTAACTTGGACAGAACAACAATCAAATACAATTTTATGGAGTGATGAAAACAAATTCAACTTGTTTGGATCAGAGGATACGGCATATGTGAGACTTCCAATATGAAAAAGAGTCGACAAAAAGTATCAGTTGCCAACAGTTAAGCACGGTGGAGGCAGCATCATGGTTCGGGCTGTTTATTCTAGTTCTGGAACGGGTCCAATTGTTAACATTTTTGGAGAAATGGATCAAAACCTTTACAAAGATATTCTCAGTGAACACATGCCCTTTTTTGCTGAAGAAGGAATGCCTTTACGATGGATATTACAGCAAGATAAACCCCAAGCATACCTCAAAATTCGTAAAGGACTGGTTAATACTAAAAAATGTTAATGTTTTTACATGGCCCTCGCAATCCCCGGACCTAAACCCTATAGAACATCTCTGGGAGCATGTTAAAAGACAACTGACAAGAAAAGCTTTTAAAATAGAAACGATTCATTTGATTATGCAAAAAATATTTGGCAAAATATCCCAAAAGGCGTCTGTAAAAAATTGGTGTATTCTATGAGTAGCAGATGTCAGGCAGTGATGAATGCTAAAGGCTATGCTACCAAATATTAGCTAAACTAAACAGTATTCTTTAAATCCTTTTGTAGAGTTATTGTATTTAATTTTGTAATAAAGAATATGTTTCCATACTTTTGTCGTCTCATTTGTGGCCATAAAATAATATGAAGGTATTTTAATGCTAGTCTGTAGCACCACAGGAAACACACATTGTCAGTTGTATCCTCAAGACTGTAAGCAAACTATATGAGAAAAAAAGTCCTTAATAATAAAGAACAAAAGATTAGCGCACTTTTTAAAAATTACTAAGGATGTTTCCAAACTTTTGTCTGCTACTGTATAATATAAGACAATAATAATAATAATAATAATGATTAATTAACGTCTTTTATTTGTAACATTCTTACAGGCTGCGAGATTTAGATTATATATCTATTCTACCATCTAACCCCCTTAACAATACGAGATGTAAAAAAAAAAGAATTTGTTGAAAATTAATAGGCACCTGTATACAATAACGAATAATCCAAGTAAATACATAAGGAAAATATGAGGACACTTATGGGTTACAACCGATTTCGCTGCTGATTAAGAAGATACTTCTTTCACTTTTTTCTTGAATTTGGATAATGGATTGGTTCCTTTTAAACTGCGGTCTAAAGAATTATATGATTTGATCGCATTGTAAATGTATGAATTCTGAAATAGATACGTGCTGTGGCGTGGAATTGAAAAAGTCTCTCTATATCTAATACTAATACGATGCATATTCCCTCTACGTATGGATTTGTTTACTAAATATGACGGTGTTTTTGAATAAAGAACCTTATAAGTCAGATTTAGGAGCTGGTACTTATACATTTTATCAATTTTCATCCATTTGAGTTCATTAATGGCATTCGATATATGATCATATTTTCTGAGATCATTTACAAGCCTGCAACATGTATTCATAATACTTTGAATACGATTTCTTGTTATAATATCGAAATAGGGATAGTAAACCACTAAGCAATACGATATCTTTGAAAATACGAAATATTCACACAATTGCTTTCTCGCAGATTTATGTAATATAGCCTTATTTGCAAATAAAACTCTGAGAATAGTGTAGCACTGAGTAATTAGATAGTACACGTGTGCAACAAATTTTAAGTCATCATCCATTATAATACCTAGGTTTTTCGAATGATCCACAGGAATTAATTTATTACCTTTTAA